AAGGAAGGAAGGAAGGAAGGAAGGAAGGAAGGAAGGAAGGAAGGAAGGAAGGAAGGAAAAGAGAAAGGAAAGCCAAAACTAGCCTCTTTCTGTGTGGGCACTTGTGTTTGCATGAGTATGTGCTTCTGCTATTTTATTTGTTTTGTTTTTGTTGGCTTTTTTTGGTGGTAGTGGGTTTTTGGTTTTTGTCTTGTTTGTTTGTTTTTTGTATTGTTTGGTTTTGTATTATTATTATTATTATTATTATTATTATTATTATTATTATTACTAATTAAAATGTATTCACTTTGTATCCTAGCTGTACCCCTCCCTCATCTCCTCCCTGTCCCACCCTTCCTCCATCTTTCCCCCAATGCTCCTCTCCTAGTCAACTGATAGTGGTGGTCTTCCTTCTCTACTATTTGAACCTAGCCCATCAGGACTATCTGGAGGTTATTTTGTTTTTTCTTTTGTTTTGTTGTTTTGTTTTTTCAAGACAGGGTTTCTCCGTGTAGCCTTGGCTGTCCTGGACTATAGACCAGGCTGGCCTCAAACTCAAAGAAATCCTCCTGCCTCTGTCTCCCAGAATGCTGGGATCACAAGAATGCACCACCTGGCCTGGCTGGTGGTTTGTTTTAATCTAGTTTGTTTGTTTGTTCTTCCTGCCTGTTTATTTTCTAAAAACAGAGAGAAAAAAGGCATGGAGTTGAATGGTGAAAAAGTGGAAGATCTGGAAAAGAGATGAGGGAGGGGAAATCTTGATCAGAACCTATTGTGTAAAAAAAATCTATTTTCAATTAAAAAAAGTGATGGAAATAACATTCAGGCTGTTTGGCAGAAGATAAGATTTAGACTGTACTTTAGATAGTACTTATTGTTCTTATCTTGTGCTCCAATGAGAGAAGAACAAATAGATCAAAACAGTATAAAAAATGTTCAGAGAAGAAATGGGTTTGAGTGAGTTTAAAGTTGCCGATGGGGTAATTGCAATGAAAGCACCTATAATTATTAAGAGATTAATGCCATTAAAGAGATAAATAATGCTTTTCTTAAGAACAATAGAAAATAGCAGCCTGGCAGGTTTATACACACTTTTAGTCAAGCGGTTGGGAGGCAGAGGCAGGAGGGTCTCTGTAAGTTCAAGACCAGCATGCTCTACAAAGTAAGTTCTAGGACAGCCAGTGATATACAGAAAAACTCTGTGTCAAAAAAACAAAAATGAAAACAACAACAATAAAAAAGTGCCATGAGGTCAAGACCCCAACCATCAAAGTCTACAACTTGTAAAAATGCAAATGCAGAAATCATGCCAGTCAGAAAAAGTGAGAAACCCGCTTGGCCATAGGAAAGTCTTACTTCCTAGGTTCAGTTCTCAAAGGGCACTCCACTGTCCTCCCTCCCACCCTACCTTACTCCCTGCCTTCATACCCCTAGCCCCCAATTTGGGATGGACTTTCAATTCCCTCATGCAGGCCACCCCAGTCAGAAAAACAGGTCACCCCTCAGAAAAATGAGTTCAGGTCATTCTACCCAGAAGAACAGGTGCAGGGCACATCAGCCAGACAAACAGGCTAATCAAGCAGAAACTTGCTGTTTGACCCCTGACTTCACCAGCAGCCAAAACACCAGCTCTCAATTCAGGCAGAAACTTCCTAATCGACCAGAGAGCACACCAGCCACCAAAAACCCAATAGGTCGCCCACCTGAAGAAACCCTTTGTGCTTTCAGTCCCTCTCCCCTGACTATCCCCAATCCTTAATCCTCATATCAATCCCCAACTTGGGAAGAGATAACCTGCTGGTCATCAAAGGCTGAGCTAGCTGATCTAAGTCCAGAACCCAACTAGATAGAAATTCCCTATTGGCTCAGAGGTCATACCAGCCACTAGAAATCTGGGCCACAATGGCCAGAAGTCCAAAGAAAAAAACAAAAACCAGGAAAAAAAAAAAAACAAACACCCATCCAACAAAGACAAACTCAGAAATTGGCAAATAAAACTTTAACCATCCCAAACCCAGATGCCTAAACTCCAGTGTAAGAACAAACTCAACAACAGCCAGGGCAATATGACATCACCAGACCTGAATATACAAGTACATCAAACCCAGAATATTCTAAAACAGCTGAAGCACAAGAAAACTACCTTAAAACTTTATAGAGATGACAGAGGTTCTTAAAGAGCTTTATCAAACACCATGGATTAAAGCTGGATTTCAACAACAACAGAAAGTACAGAAGGCCTACAAATGCATGGAAATTGATCAACTCTATAATGAATGACTATTGGGTCAAGAAAGAAATAAACATACCTATATCCCATAAGAAAATGGAATCAGCCATTAAAAGAAAGTGTCCCAACTTTCCTCTCCACCCCCACAAAAAAAAAAACCCAGAGTCAGGAGAAATTAGTAAAGAATTCTACCAGATTTTCAAAGAA